TCATAATTTGGAATGAAAATATCAATATATTTGCTCCACTCAATGTACTAAGATACTGATTTTTTAAAGGGGAGTGTATATAAATTTTGGCATGTGCATCAAAAATGGCAACTCATTTTTTAAGCATAATTATAGTTTAAAACTGTTCATATGGACTGCCTCAACAATTATCTTCAAAATTGCATCACCACATTGAAACTGTGAAAACAATTTTCCCCTTGCTATTATTGCATGTATTAGATTTTTTTATGCTAAACACACTATCATTCTGGATAAAAGGATAAAAGTAAAAGAACACATTTCACATTGTTAATCTCTATAAATTGCTCTCAAGGAATGCCCAGTCTAGTAGAGCTTAATGTCAATGATTTAATTTAGAAATGTCAAATTTCATGCTATGAACTTCAATATGTAAAGACTGTCCTTAAGTTTAAAGGTATGTGTTTTAAAGCAATCATAGAATAGTTTCAGTTAAACTTCAGTGGTCACAAAATGATTCAGAGGGTAATTATAATAGCTTGTAGAACATCCCTATGATTTTTTTTAGCTAATTATATGAAAATCTGTGGTAATATTAACATGTGATACCATTGTCAGAATTAAAAAAACCTGAACTTGATACATTAAAAAAATGAACACTTTTGAGGAGCTAGGGGTTGAAAACATGAGGTTGAAATTGTTGGTAAAAATGTGTTTTGGAACTACAGTTATCAATAGATTTCAAATATCCCTACTACCCTTTTCTCCATTCCCTCCTAGAAAACTGAAAGTTGAATATATTAATTTGATATATTATCATCAGTCCAGATTCTTATAGACAAGATAGAGTTTATTTATTCCCTGTGATTTTTAAAAGATTAGACCTGTGCTGACTTTCCGGTTTCAGTAGTTGATAATGGTATCTGCTCTTTTCCTCTTTCCCTGAATTCTTATTGTCCTTTTTTCTATTTTGAACTGTTTTCTTGAAGAGAACTAAGCACTCACTGTCACCTGTGTTCCTTCAAATACACAACAGAAGCAAAGCATAAAGTATAATTTCAAATATTAACTATTTCTACCTCATTCATAGGTTCTTCACCCAGTGTCTGTGTTTTATTTTAGAGTTTATAAAACTCTGTGTTTGAGCCTTTGATAGTGAAGGGTCATCTTGGAATTGCTCTTTGGTATCAAGAAAAACGTCACTTTTGGTCCGTGTGGACAAATCAGAGGAATGTTTAGTAGATATTCATAACTGATGTTTGCTCTGTAAAATGTCATTAAAATTATTATTCTGATGATAGAAAACCTTTTATCATCAGAATAATAATTCCATGGATCCCATGAAGTTCACATTTTATTTGACACTTAACGAATAATGGGCCTGCATTATTCAGAACTATTTTTACATGTTCACTCTTTATTCACTGTCCCCTTTCTTATACCACAGGATACAAATGGTGACTTTGTTTTTTTTAATTTTTAAAAGCTGAAAATAGCAGCTGAAATATTAAACCTGACATCTTTTGCTTTTGTGATATGTGCAGGTGGTTCGGCGTCAGCGGGACGATAAACAATGAAGTCAGCACATTCACACAAGTGCAGAGACTGTGGCGGCCCGCCGGTGCTCAACAAGATGGTACGGATCTGCCTCCGGACTATTTTAAACAAGAGATTAAGAAACGGAATCTCATACCACTTTACACCGGTCAGGATGGCTATCATAAACAAAACAACAAACAACAAATGTTGGAGAGGTTGTGGGGAAACAACAAACAACAAATGTTGGAGAGGTTGTGGGGAAAAGGGGTCCTTAGTTCACTGTTGGTGGGATTGCAGACTGGTACAACCATTATGGAAAACAGTATGGAATTTTCTCAGAAAAATAAAAATCGACCTTCCTTTTGACCAGCAATTCCACTGCTAGAATTATATCCCAAGAATCCTAAAACATCAATATCAAAGAACCTATGCACCACAATGTTTATAGCAGCACAATTTACAATAGCCAAGAGTTGGAAGCAACCAAGTGCCCACCAGTAAATGAATGGATCAAAAAATTGTGGTACATATACACAATGGAATTCTATGCAGCAGAGAGAAAGAAGGAGCTACTACCCTTTGCAACAATATGGATGGAACTGGAAAGCATTATGCTGAGTGAAATAGGCCAGGTGTTGAAAGATAAATACCATATAATCTCACCTTTAACAGGAAGCTAAACAACAAAACAAACAAGCAAGCAGAATAAAAACAAAGACACTGAAATAGAGAACAAGGGGACAGTGACCAGAGGAGAGAGGAGAGGGAATTTAAGGGGAAAAAAGGAGAGGGATTTGGAGGAACAAGTATGAAGGACACAGGGACAAGAACTAAGGAGGGTGGAAATGGGAGGGAAGTGGGGAGCACGGAGCAGGTTGGGCTGGGATGGGAGAAATAGAAAACTGTACTTGATAAATAACAAAATAAAAAAAAAAAGAAAAGAAATGGAATCTCGGCCAACAGGGGAAAGAAAGGTTTACTCTTTCAGAAAAGGTATAATGTCACCTTGAATGCTCTTACAAGGTTATTTCAGCAACCAAAAGCATTCTTATTTTTAAATCTATTTTTAATTTAATCTTTATTATGTATTTTTTCCATTAGCATTTAGTCCCCTTATACTTCCAGAAGTCACCACACTGTTGTCCACATCCATGAGTTTTTTTTTCCAAAGGTATTCTTAATGAAGCCATACTCCTTAGTCTATGGGGTGGGTTTCTATAAACTAGAAATATGCTCATGCTGGACTATTAATATCACCAGTTCCATAAATATTAACTGAGCATCTAAAACATGTCAGAGACTGTGTCAAGTGCTGGAGCTATTATGATGAACAATCCTAAAACAGTGGCCCTCCCCTGGGCTGTCTCTCATGATCAATACTCCACCCAGCCCTTTCCTCGGGGACTCTGAGTCCGTGTGTTTGAGAAGGGACTAAGCATTTGTGGTTTTTATAAGTTCCTCGTGTAATTTAATATTAAGCCAGAGTTGATATCCTTAAGTCGTAGGATCTCGCATCCCCTTTAAGGTATAATAATAACGCAGTAGTAGGACGTGGAAGTGCTGCGGCTTCCCAGCACTCAGCACTTTGAGGTGGCTGGATTCACAAAGAGAGGACAGGGGACAAGAAAGGCTCCATCAGGGCAGTGACACAAACATATTTCAGCATTCTACGCCTCTGTATTTAGCTGACGCTTCTTAAATGACCACTGCCTGCCGTGTTCTCTCAGCGGCACCACTCAGGGTACCTGGAAACAGGCGTTTTCAAACACACGTTGCCAGTGAGAAGACGGAGGCTCAGAAAGTTTCAATGACTTGCTGAAAAATCACAAAAGTTGTAAGCGGCAGGGTTAGGATTTAAACCCAGACACCCTGCCTCAAACTTAATATAATTTCTGGGGCAAATGTAATGAATTTAGGTGACTTTCAAATATTAATATTTCACCAGGAATGGGTGCCAAGAAGGGCTGCCCCTTGAATAACTGTAGTGATTAAGATACTTAACAATAGAGTCATATTTTATAATTTCTTTGTCCAATACCATATTAAGTAGTATTTTGGGGGTTTTCAAAACATTGTGAATATTTTACTTTCCTTTAATTTGACCTAACAGCAATGCAAAGACAGCAATGCCTTACAGGAAAGCAATTTCTCCCTTGAACTGAAGCTAATCTGAGGCCTGTGGAGACTCAGTTTGAGAGTCGAGTCTGTACCTATGAAATATCTCAGTAAGTTTAGGGTACATTAGTGACTGTCTTGTACCTCCTAAGGTATGCATTTTATGTATGTGTATGTATGTATTTGTATATTTATATTATATCATCACCTAAACCATGAGCAGCAGACTTAAGGCAGGAGTTAACTAATTAGTCATTCTAGTCTAAATATTCTATTAGGTTGTGCTCACCAACGGAAATATTATCTTTTACAGAAGCCCCAGGTTTACAGTTCTTAAATGTTCCCCTCATATTACAGAGTATAGGAAACAAGCTATATTTTAGCTAAATGCCTTCACATCTATGATTCAAGCCAGTCTTATAAGACTTTTAGGGAAAATTTTGATAAACAAATCCTATCAAATAAAGCAAGGTTGTAACTAACTATAAATTATAGTTTTATTCAGTTCTCTATTAATTTGAGTTAAATGTTCAAATGAACACTCTCATCTGAAGATCATACCACTCAGATAGAAGACTAAGATATTTTTTTTTGGTTCAAGTATTATTGTTTCAACTGATCTTTTCTCTGCCTGAGTGTTCCTCTATTCTTCCTTTATTATGCTTTCTTCAATCTTCCAATTGAACGTGATTCCTCACACATCTCCAAACTATTCTGGACTTCTTTCCTGCTTCTTTATGGTGTTTATATTCCATGAACCACCCAGGACACCAAGCACAAGGTAAGTCCTCATGAGAAAATTATAGAATGGAAATTGAATGAGTAGAGTTGAAGTCTATGAAGAGTTTTTCAACCATCACTTTACCAGGAGCCTCTCTACCCACACTGAGTTGTGGGCTAAACTGATATTCCTTAGGCACAGTAGTAAACTGTTATACAGGCTCTGCCATTTGATGCAGGAGACTGCAATTCTCATTTCCTTTCCATTGCTAACTAGTCACACGGGCTTTGAGAAATTATTTACTTCCCCAGACCTTTGGTTATCTCCTGTTTACAGTGGGGTTAATAAGGCCCTACTTGTCTAGAAATGCAAAGCTCATCCCAATAATTTTTAAGTTCTTTTTTAGCTCCAAACTATGGCAGATCTTTGACTGAATGAAACCTTTCTTCATCCCAGATAGACAACAGAGTTTGGGAAAAACACAGAACTTCACATCAAGGTGCTGTGAAAAAGATATGTGATAATGGACTGACAATAATCATCTGATTTAAGTGAATTGAGTGCATTGCATTGCTGAAACCTTAATCGTTATTACTGTTAATACTCCTGTATGCTGATGAAGAACCTTCCACGCTCTGTTTCTTACCTTTTGACTTCCTGTCATGGTATGACCTGCCTCGATAATGAGGGGTGTCCAAATACAGATTTTCAAGATCTTCTTGCCACGATTCAGGACTGAAGTGCTTGAGCAGATCTTCCACAGTATCGAACTGTGCGACTGTTCTGTCCAGAGCATCCGCGGTGAGAGTGGGGTCCGTTACTGATGGAGAGTTATAGGACACCCCCTAAGAGTGACATACAGCTCAGTGTACTCAGAAAAGCCCATTGCTATGAAATACAATAGTCATGCAACTATATGAAAAAACATAAACACAGTTGTGATTACATGCGCATAAACATCATGCTATAGTATTATTTCTAAATAAGAACAATTAGTTGGTAAATGATGGTCATTCACCTTTTTTTCAAATCCAAACCAGCAGATCATAATTTTCACTTCATCTACATTATAATCATTAAAAAAGACATAGGCAAGATGGAAATATTAAAATTAAGTCATCCAGTTTCTTGGTTCCATGTCGATATCTATATCAACAACTGATGATGAGTAATTAAATTCTGAACTCCCTGCTTGCAAGATTTGTATAATCTTTTCCATTCTACCATGGTTAGCCTCTTTACAAGTCGTCTAGTATTACAAGTTGTGTGAGCAGGGTTTGAATCTAGTCTGGAGATATCTTGACAAACTTTGGCATTCAACACACTTATTTACTGTCAAGGAAAGATAATTATTCATAAAACTGGCTCTGCTGACTTCAGAGTGGAAGATTCACTTGGGAAGCATATTTATGTTTTGAAGTGCTGTAGCTTGCCAGTGATCCTAGATGACATTAAAACATTGTCAGGACCGAACATCATTGAAGTTCTGAAAGAGATTATGTATTTTACCATGGAATATAGCCCCACATAAGTTTCCAAGCACTTACTTCACTAACCCTTGTACAATCTGGAGATAAATGAGCCATGATTCAAACATCTCTGTAAAAATTCATGATCCATTCACAAAGAAATAGAGAGCACACATCCTCAAATGACTTCTAAATATCTTTAAAGAAACTGCCAAACAAATAAAATCCCCCAAAGGCAAACATCTCTCATCACTACAGGAAAATGGAATTTAATGAAAACTTGTGTTCCTGAAACTTAACTGAAGTATCCTATTGAGAAATAATGTGCACCAGAGAGTGACAGACAGCAAAACCCATACTTATATTCTCACTCTAAGGTAATGTTTTCTCTTTTTAACCAATCAAGGTCCAAAGGTCTGTAAGCAATTTGATGACCACTGGCACTGACAGAATAGTCCCTCTTAAACAAAACTAAATGTGTAAAAGCATAAGCTAACACTGCTGTCATTGAGGAGCATTTTTAAAATATGTCCTGTAGGAGAAAGTGAGTGCGGGGAAACTGGGTTTGGGGAACAGGGTGTGAGACATGAGACAGAACAGCACACTAGGCCCTGGTTGTAAAAGCTGCCCCTGGCATCTGCCTTGAATTGCCAGTCTCGGGCTGCTCACTGTCCAAGCCTCCCGCCTAGCCTCCCAGCTCCACAGTCTCTCTAGCCTTATTTTCATCTTCACCTGCTTGACAATGATTGCTTGCCCTTAGCTGGGTTCTGAGCATGCGCTCTGAACTGTCAAAGCCAAAAAAAGCCCCACTCTTAATATCAATACCAGAGGCCTTACTGCTCTTTGGCTCAGATCACATTGTTTTAGTCCAACGGCTACATCAGGTGAATTAAATCCTCACAGAACCCGTAGCCGAGGAAATCCTGCCATCTGAGGGAATTAAAAAAATCCCACAGAGAGAGATTTTTGGAAAAAGAAAAATCACTTTTGGAAAAGAAAATTCAACTCCACTGACTCAGCCACAGTGACCCACACCTTAGAACCATGGGCAAGTTTTCTTTGTGCTCTTGACCTTTCAATGAACAACTGCATTTATTATCTTTTGTTTTATGGCTATGTAAGTGCTACCCATAGAATTGGTGGAAACAATTCTGGTTTTTTTTCTGTACAAAGTGGATAAGTAAACAGAATACTGAGAAGTTACTAAATTTGGCGCAAAAATAGGGGCATGAACCATTTTACAGTTTCAGCTTTGAGTTATGTTCTACTTCCAAGTCAAATAGAACACATGCCTGGTTTGCACTTAAGTCATCTTACTGTAAACACTGGAATTTTTCACATCTGAAAAGATCCTCAAAAATGCTAAGATTAACAGCTTCCCCTGGAATAGTCAAAAAAGCTATTTCAAAATTCCCCACTTGAGTTTGGGCCATGGACCAATTGATACATGTGATAGTTCTTTAGTTGAAATGTTTTGCTTTGAAACTGGTAAATAGACTTAAGCTATTGTCTATATTGTGTTCCCATAATGAGTACTGGCATTTCTTGAAAACTTTCTGAAAGAGGAATAAAGGGCGTCCGACATGGCGCCCTGTGATCCAAATGAAAGAGAAAAGCACATCACGCTTGAGATCTGGCTTTGGGTCAACCCACAGGTTTTGATGCGGTTCATGTTGTTCTGGGGTGACCTTAGCTACTTCATCAGATTTTTCACTGGCAACAGACAAATAAATTACTTACTGAGATAGAGCTTGTGACCGACTCCCAGTTGGTCTCTGAGGCTGCTTCGGGTTGGAAGTCTTCCTGGAAGGCAAAAAGCATCCATGTGAGTCAATCGCACCTCCTTTCAAATCATTACATGCGCCTCAGCCATTAAATCTCCTTCCATCTTAGCAACAACAGGAACAAGGGCTACGTTCCTGCTGAACAGGTCACCATTTGTCCTACCTCTCCTCAAGGACTTTTCCCATTGAAGACATGGACAGCTGAATTCACATTTACTCACATGCACTGGTGAAATGGAAATTGTGCAGACAAGTTCAGGTTTTAACTCAGCCATCTACTGGCTATGTGAACTCAGGTAATCTCCTTAACTTCTCTTCCAACCCTTCTCTTCCTCATTCGTAAAAGGCTGGTATTTGGTGCTTAAATTACAAAGTGTTTTTGACAATTGACTCCATTAATCATTCATTATAACTAGCACTGAATAAAGTACTTAAAGAGTAATACTAATTATTAGTGTTAATATTTATTTGGTTTGAACTAGGTTCTGCATCATGGTCAATCCTGCCTGCTGAGCTAGTCTACAATATCAGTGATCTTTTCAAATATAAATTAACTGAAAAAGGGCTATTCCTGACTCTCCCAAGAAATGTCAGGGAGAATGGAAAGAGAAGAAAACAACTGTGGGAGTGACAAAGTACAACCCACTAGAGGAGAGAAGGAAAGGGGAGACCTGAGAAAGTTAGTTATCTCAGAGATGCCATAAAGAGTATATGATACTAATGTACCTTAGAGAAACTTCTCTTAAAAGACAAATCTCTCTCAACTTCCTGTGACTTTCATGTTGATTGCTTTAGCACCAGTAAGTTCAGAAGTTGAAGGGATTAGCCAAAGGACATACACATATATTCATAACTCACAGACACAGACAACAGTATGGTGATGGCCGGGGTGCGGGGAGGAGGCACGGGCTGGGTGGAGATGGTCAAAGGGAGAAAAAATGGGGACATCTGTAATAATGTAAACAATAAAAATAAAGTTAAAAACTATAATGGGAAGGCAAACTGATTCTACCATTTTTATATGTCATACATGGTTTCTTGATCCTGCTAACATAAATTACTTTGGGTAATTTCCTCCAGCCAGACCAGGGAGTAAGAGGTATTTTAAGATATTGCTGAGAAAAATCCAGCCACTCAAATACGTCGACTTATTTACCCAAGTATACTTACTGAATGAGAGTTAAGTACCAAGATTAAATTTCATTCACATTTTGAGAAGCTAAAGTACATTTGTTAATTGCTCATGATGATACTAGTTTATATATAAGTGCCTGTGATGAAGAAAATTTTAGTTGTTTGCCAAGAGAGAACTGAGTCAAATATGGGGTTGAAGGAATGAACATCTATTGCAAACTTGCTAGATATCGTTACTCTAATCTCAACTTGGGAAGCTGGGAAAGAAAGGGAGAATGTAGTCTCTGCACTTTGCAAGATAGATTGCACGTGGAAAGGACAATGCATTCATTCCCACAGTAGATGGATGTGTGCAGATGAAGGTCAGAATTTTTGTAAGTCCTCTTAAGTAGGTGAGCAGGTGAACCTGGGTAAGAGGGACAATAGCTGCTCTATGTCTTGAAGAGACTGTTGGTAGGAGGACATGTGCTGGATAAGACAGACATGAGCAATTGTCAGATTATAGAATTTTCATTTTTACTCATTGATTCAATACTTGTTAATCACTTGCTATGTGATATGTTCTAAGCTGAGGACAAAATCACAAGGAAATAAGAAACCATCCCTACCCTTAATGAGTTAAAAATGTAAACATGCAAATAAAAAGGTGCAATAAACTCCTGAGGGTGATCTCATGCCGGACTAGTGAGAATGCCATGAAAGATAGAAAATTCTACTTGGGGAGGAAGTAGACTTAGAAAAATTGCACGTTTGAAGGTGACTCATGAGCTGAGCCTTTAGACTCCGATAAGTAGATAAGTAAGCAGAGGTTACCTATAAGGAAAGTAAGGGACAAGTCTCAGCCAAAAAGACAGTGATACCTAGACAACATTTGGGAAAACATACAGAAAATAAAGCTAGTTACTGGGAAAAGTTAATGAGTCATGTTGGACACTGTGTGTTTGAGGTGCCTATGCAAACCCAGATAGAGATGTTTTGGAGGCCATTTGCTACATGAGAATGGACCTAACTATAGACTTGCACTTGAGATACGGATTTACAAATCATCATCACAGAAACATCAATTAAAGCAAGTAATGGATTATGATGACCTTATATAAAAATCAGAGATGAACAATCTTCAAATCTTGAAACTGGAAAGACTTTTGGAATTCTCTAGTCCAGCCTCTTCATTTTAATGTTTAGAAAACCAACTCTCAGAGAGAGAGAAATGCTGTGCTGTTATGCAGTCACCTCTGATGAAGCCAGGGCCATCAGAGCTCATTTTTCAGTACAAACTGAGGTCATCTTTCACATCATTATAGCTTGGATGAACCAGTGCCTCAAAGAGGGTTAACAGAAAATCAGAAAAAACATAAAGCAGAGTACTGGTGGAAGGTTCTATGATAACATCTTTCAAAGTATTCCTAGTTGTTTAGATTTTATGTTTATACTTACTAAATCTTGTGACTTGAGTTTATTCCATTTTCTTGCATAGACACATGACAAAATATTATTAAGCATTTTAAATATAAAAGGCCTTTCATGCACATGCATCTAGATAAATGTTACACAAAGAAATTTTAGCGTCTTTACTATCTCAACTATCAGATTCCGGTCAGAAACTTTAATAGGAGTAAATAATAAAGAATTTCATTAAGATCCAGATAAAATATCAATTTATCTTCTTTTAGCAACAGGAACATTAGACATTTAATAGAAATCACACTTTTTATGTTATTTTAGAATTTGTCATTATTTATCATGAAATTTAAAATGAACTTAAAAAGAGAAAAATATCCCTTTTAAGAATAAAACACAGAACCTCCAAATTTCAGCCCTGAAAAGAGAACCTTGTCATGGGAAGGAACACATCCTTAATGTGATCATTTCTCGTTTCTTTCACGACAACCTCCCGAGCCCAAGATACCGGAAATTCTCCCAATTGCCTGTTAACCTACTCTATGCTTCTATTCTTGCCTGAGAGTCCCCATTCTCCATAACAGGCAGATTATCTCCCCCTCCTTGCTTTATTGATAAATAACTGAGATAAAACATTGTATAAATATAAGGTGCACACCATGATACTTTTTTAATCCTCACCCAAAGATATGTTTATCGATTTGGAGAGGGAGGGAAGGAGGAAGAAAGGGAATGAGAGAGAGAGAGACAGAGACAGAGAAACACTGATCAGTTGCCTCCTGTACGCAGCCTGGAGATGGAACCTCCAACTTAGGTATGAGCCCCGGCAGGGAATCAAACCTACAGACTTTGGTGTATGAGATGACGCTGCATCCAACTGAGCCGCCCAGCCAGGACTATGCTGTGATTAATTTATATACATATGTAAGTATTGTGTATAATGACATATAACCCTACAATAATATATATGATTAATTACCACAAGAAGTCTCACATAACTACAATCGTGCATGTGTGTGTTTGGTGAGAACATTTAAGATCTACTGTTAGCAGCTTCCAAGTACATAATACAGGCTTATTCGCTACAGACATCTTGCTGCACCTTCGGTTCCCAGAATATATCCATCGTATAACTGGAAGTTTGTACCTTTAACCAACACCTCCCCATTTCCTCCACTCCCCAGCTCCTGGCAACCATGAGTTTTTGGCTTTTTTATTTTATTTTTATTTTTAATTTTTTTAGATTCCACATCTAAGCGAGTCATACAGTTTTTGTCTTTCCGTGTCTGGTTTATTTCACCTCGCATAATTCCCTCAAAGTCCACCCATGGGGTTCAAATGGTAGGATTTCCTTCTCTCACACAGCTGAATGATATCCCACTGTGTATATTATATGTAATGCATGTACCATTTTCTTGATACATTGATATAAACATGGGGGTGCACATTTCTCTTACAACTAGTAATTTTCTTTCTTTTGGATAGATACCCAGTAGTGGGATCACTGATTACACGGTAGTTCTATTTCTAATTCTTTGAGGAACTGCTATGCTCCAATGACTCAGGATTCTCAGTACATTCAGGGGTGATGTTCAGCCACTGGCCCTCAGTCCAGGCAAAGCAGCAGTTTATAGCTGGAGTCCTTTCTGATAAGTCAGTGTCTGTCACACTGTTTGTTACATATTTGTAATGTCAACCTGGGTTGATCGCTTGCTTTTTCAAGCTCCGCATGAATGAAAGACAAACTTTTTTTTCTTTTGTGGGTGCTCTTAGCAGAACAATGCCCTTAGCATTACTTAAGAGTTGCTAAAAGTGAATGGGCAGTGAATAATAATTTAAAATGTATCAAAAACAGTGCAGCTTAAAAAGGTACACTTCTGTTCTTTGTTACAGAAGAACATTTTTCTGAGGAGAGAGAACTATTTCCAAGAGATAACTTGTTCCAAGAAATTGGTACAAATTCAGCCCTTGATTTCCTGACCTCCTGCTCATGAACTGTAATTGTAGTATGTTCCATCCTAAAAGGAAGGAACTGATATATTTCCATGCAGGAAAGCTCTGCACTTTGGTGCCATGGATAACTTACTGACGCTGTCTAGGGGTCTAATGCTGTCCCTTTAGAGGTGAGCAAACTGAAGCTCAGATGCCTCATGGAATTTCTAGAATCCTCAAACTAATTATTACTAGAGTCAGGACTACAACTCAATAAACTATTGTGCATCTCTTAGTCACCTGCTCTTTCCAACACACCAGATAATGATATATATCATTCTATCACAACAGGCAACTCACGCTGCATTACATTAACAAGAATTAATCTACATCATTAAAGTAATAACATTCTCTGTGTATGTTCTCACATTAAAATAGTTTGTAATTATATTTTGGCAGTGAAACTCATTATTTGGAGTTTTGAAATGAAAGTTCCTCTCTCATTCTCTGCATTTTACTATTTGGAGTAGTTATGAAAACATAGATACAATT